CATCTGTAAAGTACACAGGAAAGTCAGAACTAAGGATGAAAAAACCAAAAAGCAGAGAAGATCTTTCTCCTCCATAGCAAAAGAAATGAGGGAACGATTCCCCAAAGGATATCGCATCAAAAAAGAAAAAGCCACTTCAAAGGACTAGTTTTAAAATTATAATTAAAAAAAACTGTCAAAAGCATAGAAATCAAAGAAAGGAGGCTTTTTGAATTTTAGGGTCCTCCTTCTAATGTACACAAAGTACCCATCGTCATAATCCAATGCAAGCCCAGATTTGCTGTAAATTCATCACCACTTTTCTGTTGCTTCGGTCCCCAACAACCTTCCGTAAAAACAGCATGCCTCCTGAACCTTCCTGCTGAATTCTGTGTAAAGGATCTACAGAAAAAATGACGTTCACCATTGTGAAACTGACATCAGGATTTTTAGTTAGGACTGTTGTTTAGGGTCAGTAACACCAAAGCATGGTAGACTCAAACAGAATGAGTATAGCATAGGAGGCCGATATGGAGTTGTGAATTGCAGAATCGGTGGCATAAATGTAGACAGCACCTCTTATTACTGTTTCATGACTGCCTCACCCGTGGATTCCAGGTACATTCCTCACATTCTTTTAGTTGTCTAGGAGGCAGGATTGGTGAATGTGTAAATATGTGTAGTGAACAACTCCCCCCAAAAGGAGATTGCATGCTCTCTCTACACCAGGGGATGCATTTCTCGGTTCTCCTCCCCACTACATCTTCCAAAAAAGTGCCAGATGTCTAAGGTCATGACTTACTGATGAAAGAAGGCAGATGCTGACAGATTAGAATAAAATCCTTTGCAAAAAATGACCACAGCGATTTCTTGGGACACTGGAATATTTTCGGGGGTTTTTTTTTGGTGTTGTGCTTCAAGGGCAAAAAATAGAATGTGTGTTCTACTTTAATAAATCATGACTCCATCTGTTTGGTAACAGAAAAGATAACGTCTGGATCTAGAAAGTAAGTGAATTGTGCCCTCAAGCGGCAAAAGGCGGTACTGGACCCACAGACAGTTTTGCAAAACCTTTGCAACTGTTGCTAAGTAACCTTAGGTAATTGGCTCCCTCTTGAGTTTTCTCACTCTTACAAAAAGGAGGATTGCTGAGTCTTGGAACAAGGCATCAGGAATGTGGGGATTGTGTCTCTGATTTATTATTGAGACCAAGTTGCTACTAGCACCAGAAATTTGCCTTGCCTTTGTCTCCATTCCTTGGCTCATCCAAATGACGAGATTTTGCCTGGGCTGCTCTTCCTAAGTAAATGGTGTGTTTATAAAAGCTTCTGATACACTAGCAACTCCTTGTTAAGCTTAGTATAACCAAGGACTGGGCTTCTAGATAGTCTTATACTTAGGGCACGTTTCTTTAAACACTCCTTGATAGGGCGAAAACCAGGAACTTATCCAATAAATAGGCTTGCACATGTGTGAAATGTTAAATGTATAGGACAGTTCATGATGACATCATTTGTAATAGCAAAAGATCAGGAATGTCTTAAACGCCCATCGGGATGGGGTTAAATAAATCATGATTCATCCATACAATGAGGTTGAGAAGCTGTAAAAAAGCAAGAGGTAGTTCCATGTGTTTATATAGAAGTGTTTGCTGCAATATTATGCTCACTGAAGAAATCAAGGAGCAGAACAGTGCGTAGATTATGCTACGTTTGTATTATGATAGGAAGAATACAGGGTTGTATGGGCTTGTGTATACACAGTCAATCTCAGAATGGATTCCTGAGAAAGTGAGAAAAATGGCTGTCCCCAATTGTCAAACACTGAAGTGTGAAACACACATGATTTTTATTTGTTTTGTTCGCTATCATTTCTCCAGTCTTTAGAATAGGGCCTGGCATGTTGTAGGCACTCAAGAATATTTGTGGAATAAATAACAGAATAAAATCAACTACGTATATGTCCAGGCTGTTTCCAAAGAGGGGAGCTGGATAGCTGGATGTCAGGAGCAGTAGAGAGTATTTTCACTCTGTGCACGTTCCTATCTTTAAAATTTTGCATCATTAGAATAGGCTGCCTATTTCAAAATAAATAAAACTCAGACCACTGAAGAAACAATAAAGAATGGGAAGCTGTTATTGTGGTAGGGTTTTAAGTAAGGCATTGCTGTGGTGGTGATTTAAAGAGGCCAGGGCCAAACATGTCATAAACTGCCAGTCGTTAGTTAGCAGTAATGCTGGATTACCTACAGCATCTAATGCGCATCGTGCCATGAAACCACTGTCTTCATATGGAGGGGTTTTCTGCTGTGTTGCAGATTCTTGATAGACAAGTACCAGCTCTTTGCTAAATCTGTCTTACCTCATATCCAGGTATACACTGCGGTTGTTTCCCAAATGAGGTGGATGATGTTGCACAATCCTCTCCACTGAATTTTCAGTGGCTTGAGTCACTGTGGACCTTTGGATGACCCCACACAGTAGAGGAACTCATTAAGGATGGATGGGAGCTTCCCTTCCATGAGAAAGAGGTGGGAAGCTTCAATTCTTAACACAGGAAAGTGTCACATCACCAGGTCCCACCTCAGACCTCCTGAATAGGAATCTCCAGGGTGGCGCTGACACTTCCTCGTGGGCACAACTATCCTGCCCCCCAGCACTGAGAAGATCCACTCTGGATATAGAGCCAACCAGGCTTAAGCTGGGAGTCCATCTCCCTGGACGAAATAAAGTCCCGATCAAGAGTACTCCCCATGCCCCGACTCCTTCCTAACCACTTCATAAAGAGATATTTCTGGTTCATTCATTTCTTTTTTTTTTTTTTCCTTTTTTTGTCTTTTTTCGTGACCGGCAATGGATCACAACCCTCAGTGTCGCGCCCGTACCGGACCGGGACCGGCAACGGGATCGCAACCCTCGGTGTTGCGCCCGCACCTCGCTCAGCCAGTGAGCGGCCAGTCTGTACATGGGATCCGAACCCTCGGTGGGAGCGCCGCCACGCTCCCAAGCGGCGCACTGTAGCAGTGCACCACCGGGCCGGCCCCTCTGGTTCATTCATTTCTTTAGAAATTCTGTTCACTAAATTATAACTCCCAGACATTCATTCAAGATCAGCTCCCACATCCATCCTATTCCATCCACTTTCCCATGTAGGATATAAGCCTGGAAGTATTCCTTAAGACTCCACTGTGATACGAGAGGCACCTCCCCGTTAGGCCAGATCAGACTTCTGGAGGAGGAGGCCTGAAAACAGCTAATTATCCATCAAAGAAATCATGTTCCAACTGATGTGCCTGTTCTCAGCAAGCACAGTCCTCCACAGCAAGTCTGATAATTGGATAAACAAGACCTCAGAGGCTCTCAGGGGCTGGGATGAGAGATGAAAACGCACTTTATGTGCTTTCTTTAATGTAATCACCAGTTAAGGGGATGGCAAGGAGCTTAACAAGCTCATTACAACCTCAGCGCCTGTGATCTCTGCACGTCCTCCTGTGGCAGCCACAGGATAAAATGCCCTTGCAGGCCTTGCAGGCCTTGGCTGCTGTCTGTGCTGTTTTCATTCTGCCCTCACCAGAAGGCAGCTGTTGTCTCTAATATCAGCTGTTGGGCCACATGGAAAATAAGCCAGGAGTTGGTTCAAACATGTTCCTAGGCAAACAGCTAGTATTTTCTTAATCTGGGCATAGAAAGAGGAATGCCAAACTCAGATGTGGATAATCCTATTTATCAACCTAATTTTCCCAACTGTTCTGCTCCACTTTTGGAATTGCTGTCCTTCTGGTTGTGATTCCTCCAAGCCTCTTGCCTGGGTCTGCTTCAGGGGACACCAGCCTCACTCTATGCCTCTAAGCCATAGAGGTTGGACATGGCACTGCAGAGGGCCAAAGCCTGTGGTCTGGGAAACACTAGTCACTCCTGGGATTAGCGCTTCTGGACTTCTGGCTCTGGAAGTTGATCTCTCCCGTCAGAGCAAGCGTTTGTTTGATGAATGCCCAGCTGTCGTGATTCATGGGAGTCCTGCGCAGTTTACTATAACTGATCTAGATCTTTTCTTTAAAGCAATTTGAATAAGGCAGAGGCTCCAGGGGGTAGCACTCAGAATGCTACTACCCCTTGTATTACCACATGGTGACCCTGACTGAGGGCACCTGCAGGGGGGTGGGCAAAGAAAGGAGGCACCTGAAGAGGTGGGAGGAAGGTGAGGCTGAGGGATGGAAGGCAACTGCAGCTTATCCCAAGCCAACTTTACTTGAAACTCTACGGCAGATGCTCTCTTACAAGCAGTAAAAGTAACTTAAGTTCTACTGGTATGTTACATCGAAATGCTCACCAATAGCAGAATCCTATAATGTGTGACTCTGGCTGTCATTCTCCCTCCAGGCCTGAAAACATCTGCCATTAGAACCATCTAATAGTTTCCTCCACCCAAGGGAGCTCTACAGTTTATGTTAAAAGTACACTAATTTGAAATTCAAATCCTGGCTTTATCAGTGTAGGCATCCACTGCTTGGCCCAATAGATTAATTCTCCACAAGTTCCAGGTAGATCAACTTTCTGTAAGTCAAGCCATATTTCAAATTTACCAGGTGAATCCTCTATAAAATAAAGAATTATCCCAGAATGTATCTACTCTGTAAATCTTCAAGTATTTGATTCCCTCAAATGGATACAGCTGTGACCAGAATTAGTGGCATGGATATAGCAGTGTCAAGAGTAAAAGTCACCCTGCCTGCCAAACCCATAGACTCATGGCCAGAATTCTCCAACTGAATTAAAGGAAATCTTTTCTAAAAGAAGCAGAAACTGCTGTCCCTGCCAAACGATAATACTATTGGGAGAGATAAGACTTTGAGCTGTACCTGTTATTGATACCATAGTGTTAATGAGTTTAGAGATCTTTGTTTAAAAACAGACTTTTGGAGTCCCCGCGCCGGCGCCAGGCCTAGGCTGGCGGCCGCGAAGTTGGACCTGCCGAGGTGGTGTCGGAAGGCGGGGGTATCAGCCCTTGGCCGGCCTCGGTGACCATGGCGGTCTTTCACGACGAAGTGGAGATCGAGGACTTCCAATATGACGAGGACTTGGAAACGTATTTCTACCCCTGCCCGTGTGGGGATAACTTCTCCATCACCAAGGAAGATTTGGAGAATGGGGAAGACGTGGCAACGTGTCCTAGCTGCTCTCTCATTATAAAAGTGATTTATGACAAAGATCAGTTTATGTGTGGAGAAACAGTTGCAGCCCCTTCAATCAACAAAGAATTAGTTAAGTGCTGAAGAAGCCTTCAGGAATCCAAATCCCAACAGTTGGGAATGAACCAAATTGGAAATATCAAATACAAAGTTACTGGCTTCTTCACGGGGACAACCGTTTTGTGGTTTACTGTTCCATTAGGGTGTGGATTCTTTTTATCAACTGTTGAGTTCATCTTCAAATAAAGAAGCAAGTCCAAAAAAATAAATAAATAAATAAATAAAAACAGACTTTTGTGGGCCGACCCCGTGGTGCACTCGGGAGAGTGCGGCGCTGGGAGCGCAGCGACGCTTCTGCCACGGGTTTGGATCCTATATAGGGATGGCCGGTGCGCTCACTGGCTGAGCGCGGTGTGGGCGACACCGCGCACCAAGGGTTGCGATCCCCTTACCGGTCATGAAAAAGACAAAAACAAAAAAAGAGAGAGACTTTTGTGTCATGAGTGAAGGGGACAGAAAGGCCATGAGGCCTGAGGTTAACAATTTTTTGAGGTATGAGGAGATGGCAAGGATCAAAAAGAGGGGAAAATTGACAGAAACGAGAAGGCGAGGTCACCCAAGGCAAACAGTCAAGTCACCAATTTTACCGGGATTCATACCTAAATTGATTCTTTCCATTTCCACTTTGTGAATGGAAGTGCAGGTGTAAGGAAGGGAAACGTGTCTAGGACTGGTTTGCTGCTAAGACCAACCTAATCAAAAACACCATAAAGCATGTGAGAAGGAACGCTAAAGGTGCCACAACAGCATGAGAGATTTAGAAAAGATGCTCTCCAAATTCCTTAAGTTCTCCCGTAGTAAGAGTCTGCACCAAGTTCACGATAACTCTCTTTCCTTAAACAAGCTATAAAATATAGCGACGTGGGAGTCCAGAGAAGGTGCTATGAGCAAACTGGAGATCAGTATCCTCTATCACTCCCAACAGTGAAGACCCGGTTTCTAATGGGGTGGCTTTGGCATTTCTATCATGTACAGTTCAGCTAAAGACTATTCCCTCTGCATTTGTGGCTCTGTTTCTCACGATGCCACGTTGGGTCTATAGTAATCTGTCCAGGCTTCTCCTCCTAGCACTCCTACATTTCTGAATCATTCCATGCACTAATGCATTCCAAGTCCCGCTGTGATGTAATTAAGGGATAATGTTAGCAGCAAGGACTAGAGAGAGTTGTAAATGCCCCCCAAGGGTGATTCAGTGCTGAGGGGAAGTTGAATAACTATAGAATTCATTTGGTGCAAGTTTATTCCAATGCCACAAACATTTTCTTTTCAGTTAGATAAGATTTCTAAAAAGATACAAACACAGCATCCAAAGGCAAACATTTTAATGCCTTTATCTTCCTCTAGGGAATGCAGAATTAAAACTACTGCACCCTGGGGATGTTTATCTGATCTAGGAGGGGGACTGAGTCTGTATTTAAGGAGCAAGGATAGATGACAAAGAGCTGCTTCAGGAAGGACTAAATGGGGGAAACACATGTGAACCTCATGAATACCGAAAGGAAGAACACCATTTCTAACTGTTGTTTGTATTTCTCAATGTAATTTTTGACCTCAATAAACCCCTCACTTATCCTTCCTGGTCTTGATTTTGTGCATCTGGAAATGTGGGGGTGGGGGCACTTGGATTCGGTGAGCTCTGAAGTTCTTTGCATTTCAGTCCCCTATGTGTCCTACTGAAAAGTGTGACTGAGGAACTGGGGAGATGGGAACTCTCTTACAGTGCTGGCAGGATAGCAAACTGGTACAATTTTGAAAAAAGGGGCAGTTTGAATAAGACTGAAAATGTATATTACTTGTGACTCAGTAATTTTATGTTTTAGGCATATTCCTTAGGGAATTTTATTTTTTTGGCACAGGGAAACAAAGACAAACATTTTCACTATGCAGTGTTTATAAGAGCCTAAAATTAGAAAAAACATAAATGCCTGTCAATGAGGAAATAGATAAAATACAGTCTCTTTACACAAAGGAATACTATAAAGTAGTTAAAAGGGATAACACAGCTCTATAAAAACCAGTTATTGATATTTCTAAAATACAAGCTGTGAAGGAGTTCCCATTGGTTAAATTTGTGAAAATCTGAGCAACTAAAAAGAATAATGACTGTAACTGAGTGTAAAGTACTGAATCAGTGAAGTTCATGAGTCCACAGTAACAAACAAAAAAGAAAAAAATCAAACTGTTGAGTGGAAAAAGCAAAGAGCAGTATAATACATAGAGTGCAAAGTCATTTATGTAAATTTTAAATAACTATAAAAATAATATTTTTCAGTGTTCACAGATAACGTGTGTGTGTGTGTGTGTGTGTGTGTGTGTGTAAAACCAGAGAAAATGGAGGAACACACAGAAGGTCATGGGTAAAACCAGAGAAAGTGGAGGAACACACAGAAGGTCATGGTAATGATGACGTGTGGAAGGTAAGGTGGAAGTCTGTGACTGGACACTGGGCATGAAGAAGACCAATTTAATCAGTATGATTTTATTTCTTTTACATGCAAAAATACAGAAAACAATGTCATTTCTGGATAGTGGGAAAAAGATGCTTGTTATATATATAATTCCTTTCTGCATTAAAGAAATCTTCTCCAAATTAAAAAAAAAAAGTACATGAGCAGCAATGCCTTTGGCAGATGGGTATTGAGAAGCACTACTTCCCAGACCCCACGTGATAGGTCAGGTGGCACCATTCGTGACTCTGAGAAACTGAGGCAGCCCGGGCTTTTAGCCCTGTAGTGTCTGGTTCTGTGCTCTCCAATATGGTAGCCACCAGCCACATATAGCTACCTGATTTTAAATTTTTTTTTTCCTTTTTTTGTCTTTTTTTCGTGTCCGGCAACAGATCGCAACCCTCAGTGTCGCGCCCGTACAAAATTTTTTTTTTTTCCTTTTTTTGTCTTTTTTTCGTGTCCGGCAACAGATCGCAACCCTCAGTGTCGTGCCCGTACCGGACTGGGACCGGCAACGGGATTGCAACCCTCAGTGCTGCACCCGCACCTCGCTCAGCCAGTGAGTGGGAACCGGTCTGTATGTGGGATCCGAACCCTCGTCAGGAGCGCCATTGCGCTTCCCAAGCGGCGCACTGTAGCAGTGCGCCACCGGGCTGGCCCCTTAAATTTAAATTACTTAAAATTAAAGAAAATTAAATTTCAGTTCCTCCATTGCACTAGCCACATCTCAAATGCTGAAGAGCCACATGTGGCTAGTGGCTGCTGTACTGGGCAGCAGACATATAGAACATTTCTGTCACTGCCATATATTCTACAGGAGAGAGCTGGTCTTGAGCTGGAAATCTGACTTTTAGACAACTAGAACATTTTAGTCACATTGCTCTTTCCCCAACATGTTCTTCTGCACAGAGGAAAACCAAAGTAATGACTAGGTGAATTTTTTCATTTCTGGAAAGAATATGTCCATTATAATTCTAAATTACAACAATGTCTGAAGCAACACTTTCTTGTTAAAGAGAATTAGGTAAACCATCTTTAGAAAGAGATCTAGCGATTATCTATAGTTCCATAAACATCATATTTCATTTCCCCCCAAAATTCGGAAATAGATTGAAGAACAATGAAAGCATTTTCCAAACAAAACTCAGAATGTGGGTCCTGCCGTTTTCCAAGAGCCTGTGTTTCTTACCTGTATACAGTATGAGGGACGTATACTTCTCGGATTGGAAATTCCAAGATCTCTTTGTGGGGACGTATCCGGTTTTCAGGAAAGGGACCCACAGGCAGCATTTCAGGAGTCAGACAGCAATTGATTATCTCTGGAGCTGGAGAAATCTCCAGTCTGAGCAAGCCTAAAGAGAGAAAACAGGACTGTTGCAGGAAAGACATTGTCATGTTACGAGGAAACCAAGCAAGACAGTTTCTTTTATGAAAATAAAAATAAGTTGTGGTAGTGGATGAGTTTTGGAGCTAATTTCCTACAGTTTGAGAAAAGGCAGGTCATGATAATTTGGGGGATTTAGTTTCTATAAAATAAAATCGACAGAAAAAAATTGTAAAATGAGTGGGAATGGATTAGAGGATCTTTAAAGTTTCTTTCAAAACCACTGCACTATAACAGTATGGAGTTAAGCAACTTCCCTGCATTGCTAACAATAAAAACAGGTGGTTTTCAAACTGGGTTCTCCAGTACCCAAGGGAGTTGCAGAAATACCTCAGGGGCTGTTGAGCTGAGGATAAAGAAAACTTCACCTTCTACTAAAGCATCTCTCGCATTCACTGTTCTTATACTAAGGTTTTCATATAATATTTTATTTAATGAAAGGGACTCTCCCATTCAAACAACTTTCTGATTATCTGAGAAATCAGATCTAAAGCATATTGTTTATTTAAGACATGAGTTCTTTAAGAAAAACAGAAAAGTCCAATAGATTTGCTAAAAATGTTGACCAATTCAGATTCCTAACTCCTAACGCAAAATCCCACATTTCACTTGGCAAATAGGATTTTATAAATTCTATGCATTAGACCAAAAAAATGTGTCTAATCATGAGTGGTTTGGGCACCGCTAAAGAGGATAAAGATAAGCCGTCCACACCTGGAATTGACTTGACTCTTCTCTGTAAGGATGAAGATCTTTTGTAGTCAGCTAGAAACTTAAATAAGTCTTCATCACTAAGGCGATCTCCCTCCTGCCAAGACAAAAGTCCGGGTTAGTGTACATTCACCTTTGACCCCTCGGTTAGATTTCTGGGAAGATTTTTGCCTTTAAGATTTATTCTAACAAGTCTTTCACAACAATTAGAATTATAGGCAGTTCTGAAATCATTCAGTTCACCTTCTTGTCAAATAGTCCTTCTCAACCAGCCTCTCATCAATCCTTCCAGGGATGGGGCTTCTACTACAGTCTTAGGAAGCCCATTTGACCATTAGAAATCTAGGCTAAAAGCTTCTCCCTGCATTACTTCAACCCATGCTAGCCTTATTCCCTAGCACAACACTGAATAAGTTTACTTTCTTCTTCAAAGAGTTGAAGGTGGAGAAAGCATTTTTCCATCTTTCCTATCTCATTTTCTTCACACTTGTCTTGAATAAGAAGGTTAATCATAAATGCTACCCTCCAGATGCCTACCATGGGCCAGCACTCTACCAAGGGGCACCCACGTGTGATCTTTAATCCTTACAGCAACACAGTAAGGTAGGTAAATGGGTATATCTTATTCCCAATAAGAAAACTCAGACTTATTTAAGTCAAGTACCTTGTCCCCTTTGGTAATACAGTCAGGAAGGGGTGTGTCCCTAATAGAAACCCTTTCAGTCCCTTTCAATCTCTTCCTCTTTTTAGTATGTGGTATGGTGCACAGACCCACCCCAGAATCCCTTCTGCATTTCAGTTTGTTAATATAACCCCTTTAAATGCTCCATGAAGACTGCTTAAGCTATGGAAAAATTTTCCAGAACAGAATCACACCAAGTATAAGTCAATTTTTTAAAAATAGTGGTAAAATATAAGTAACATAAAACTTAGCATCTTAACCATTTCTAAGTGGACAGTTCAGTAGTGTCAAGTACATTCACATTGTTGCGCAATCCATCTCCGGAGCTCTTTCATGTTGCAAAAAGAATCTGCAACAATCCTCCCCATCTCTTCTTCTCCCAGCCCCTGGCAATCATCATTCTACTTTCTGTCTCTATGTATTTGACAACTCTAGAAAGTTTTTATTTTTTAAATTTTTTTCCTTTTTACTGACTGGTACGGGATCGCAACCCTCGGTGTCGTGCCCGTACCGGGGACCGGCAATGGGATTGCAACCCTCGGTGTTGCGCCTGCGCCACGCTCAGCCAGTGAGCGGGAACCGGTCACCACATGGGATCCGGTCACCACATGGGATTCGAACCCTTGGCGGGAGCGCCGCCGCGCTCCCAAGAGGCACACTCTCCAGTGTGCCACTGGGCCGGCCCAAGTTTTTATTTTTAAAATAATTTTTAAATAGTCTCAATATTTACTGTGCTAATAAAGTGTGCCAGCCGGAATGGTCACCCTCTATGAGCAAGCAAGAGTTGCTGGAAAGCTTGTACATGGAACAGGGGTGACAAGGACAACAGGCAGGACAGGAAACCCTGAGACCAATGGGGAAACCCATGTCTCAGCCGGACGGTTTTAATCACCTAATAAATGAATTCACCAAGATCGTTCAAATAGGCTAGTTTGTATTAATAGGAAGAAATCCTTCTCAATTAAAACACCTAACACTCGCTGAGCAATTATTACATCCTAGGCTCCCTGAGAAGAGCTTTGCATGCCTCATGACATCTAACCTCCCAACAGCATAAGAGGCAAGTACCATCATCCCTGTTTTGTAGGTAGTGAATTGAGGCTTGGGGAGGTTAACTAACTTACTCTCTTAATCACTACATGTACCCCTCCTTTGGGTTTCAGCACCCATGCCAATGTGGGAACAAATTCAGACACACTGTAATGTGAAGAAATACCTGCTTGAAAAAGCTGTTAATGGTCAAGGTGGTGGTTTTGAAGTTGGATCCAACCCCATTTTCTTCCAAGGAGAGGGCTCGTTCAGAAAGTCTCCTAGACTGGGACAAAGTCCTCCGCTCACCCACCGAGCTTCTCCCTTTAAGGAAAACAATTGTCATTGTTAAGTATTACTTTCTGTTTGACTACACAGCAGTTATTAATGTCACCACATATGAGATATGTTTAAAGTCACTGAACAAGAATGCTGAAAAGGACCATCCTTGTTTTAAATAAAAATTTTCCTCCACTGGACCCTACCAGTCTCAGTCCTCCACTTGGAGTCCCTAATCCTCCCCTGACCAGAGTGGAGAGGCCACGAGCAGCCGCAGCCTCCCCTCCCTGCACCTCCATGAAGATCAAAGCAGGCCAGATGCCACCCAGCCAGAGTCTGGAGCCGCAGCCAGAACAGGGTCTGCTGATAAGCTTTATTTAGCCAGCACACTGTTTGCTTTTATTTTATTTTTACATTTGTATTCCACAGGGAGAAGCATGTACTCAAATGCTCCTGAAGGCATTTGGAATTGTGATCCAAACATGCTAGGGTCAGCCTGGGTACCTTCTGAATCCCAGCTTTCCTCTATTCTTGTTACATGACCCAGGAAGCAGAACTGAGTTTCTGCCTTGGTTGACCTGTCTGTTGGGGATTAGTAGCCTGAATCACACTCAGACCTGGGCTGAGACTCTGATACTCTGCTTAGTTGTTTCTTATTCCCTTTTGGGATTCAGGTGGAGACCGTGTTGTTTTTATACTGCAAAATTCAGGGGTTCTGTTGTGAACAGTCAAATTGCTTAGAACTCTAACAGGTCCAACTCCTGTCTTTGAATATACCCTTATCCTTAATTCTCACTATGACGCTGAACTGGAACTTATTACCACCACTACCTACCTAAGCTTGCCATACCACCTCAGTATAATACACTGCATCTTCTGGTTGTTTCTGAAGAATCGGTCTCCACAGTGGGTTAATTTATCTTTGACCAAGAGATTACTGAGGCCTCAGCAAGCCCAGTTGAATTATCTAGTTTATTATGCCCTCTAAGTTCTATACATAACCCTTTCACATAAAGCTATCTGGATCTACATAGAAGATGGTGTTAAAAAAAATCGTGGTGTGAAGGTCAGGACGCAGTAAAGTGAGGTTTGTTATTGACAAATCAGAAATAACCCAGGAGTTCTGGTAGTTGTATAAA